TAGACTCATTTTCAATATATCACTTCTTACTGCCTATACACTCAATTCGATTGCTAGTGTCCTTTTAGTCTGACTCCTGATAACAATAACACAACACAATAATTTCCAAAAATTTCACTAAAATAGTGACCACGAATCCTTGTAAGTTATCACAGTACAACGTGTATAGAATTTATTCACTATACTCGATTATTAGTTGTAAGATATGAAACTAGCACAGTGTGATGATATCAATTTATTTAAGAGATAGTGTTCTCACTACCCAATCAGGGACAGGTTTTATTGATTTAAAACCAAAAAAAGAAGAAAAATAAGAATTTTTCAATGAAATACGTATGTGTTTTGTACTTCAGTCAGTCGCAATGTAATAAACGAACTTGTTTCTGAAGAGAAAGCTTTCGCTGCTTGGTGCTGCACCAAACAGAATAAACTTAAAAGCAGTAATTTTCTCTAGTGGGCGTCCATTGCAACCACCGAGTCCTGTGTTACCTATCTGCCTTCGGACTGCCCGAGCTAGACCAAGTAAAATACTCAGGGCAATCACTTTTCCGAAAAACGATTTGGGTTTCAATCCACGCAAACCAGTTATAAACTCTTTTTCGATTTAGACTTAGTGTCGCGACTATCCGAGTTTAGACCTGTTTTGTTTTGGTCTGGTCTTTTATAAAAGGCAAGTTACCAGTGCAGTCACTGGTTCCTAATTTGTCTCTTAATAACCTAATACCTTTCACTATTTTCTTTTCTTCTGTCTAATTAAGTCTTAACAAAATAGTACCCCTCCGGATTGACTAAAACAGGAACCCTCCGGATTGGCAGAAACAGTACCCCTCCGGATTGGTAAAAACAAAACCCCTCCGGATTGACAAAATTGGGACCCTTCCGGATTGGCAAAATTGGGACCCTTCCGGATTGGCAAAATTGGGACCCTTCCGGATTGGCAAAATTGGGACCCTTCTGGATTGGCAAAATTGGGACCCTTCCGGATTGGGACCCCTCCGGGTTTGTAAAAATAGCTTTTCAGAGACTTTCAAAATTTTCACGCGATACCCTTCCGGATACGTTCTCCGATGCTATTATGCTGTTGGAACTAACTAAGAAGGGTCTATTTTTTTCCCAAGACCCTTCCAGATTGAGGCTAAGCCTTTTATTTGACAATTCACCTTAACTGTGAAGGGTCTTACCACTAGCCTAGTTTCGACTCGACTATGGTTACCTGGTTTCCTTAGCCTTCCCTTTTAGTCTAGAACAGCGTAAACAGGTAGGGATGTAAGGGCTTTCCAAAAAAATTTTATAAAACGTGAAGGCTCTACCTTCTCGAATTAGTGAGTTTGCAAAAAACAATCATAAAAAATTTTCATACTTGTTTTTAAATATTTTATTGTTCTATGAGTAAGTTCACTTTGTTTCTGACCTAATGATACCAAGATTAACTGGATCTGTCCAGTAGTTCTAAAGTTATTAACCAAAACGTCTTTTTTCTAAAATCAAAAAACTTTCTCTCTTATAGGTTCCGCCTAACTTTTTTTCGCAATTCTGTTTTTTTCGACCTAAACATTAGTGATCCGATCTTACAAGGCCTATATTTTTCTAGTTCAATGCAAAAAATCTGATCTAAAACGTTCCAGTTGAAAAAATTTGCCAAAAACAATGCTATTTGGACCCCTCCGGATTGATGAATCCACTAAATCAAACACGTTAAGTTCAATTTCACTGTAACCCGGAAGGTTATCGCTAAACGGGTTTTAAAACCTGTCGATTTATATGAATGTTGACGGAACAAAATTTTTACTGTCCTAACTCAAAAATTTCAAAAAAATTTCTTATTTTGTAGCGTTTTGTTTCTTCAAAAATCAAGAAAATTCGGATTTTGGTACCCAATTAGTTCCAACCACTTCCGAATTACTCACTAATTTAGCGCTTTTTTCCGTTTCAAAAAATATCGATATATGTAAAAATCGCGATTTGTGAGGTGATCAAAATATCGCTATTTAGACCCTAAAAACCGGTCTGATTAGTGTGTTTTTTTACTGAAAAACGGTATAGGAGTATTAATATAGGCTGTATAAATAATAATACTAGTAATACTATTTACCTCCGGGTTTGTTCAATCTCCGAATCAAGGTGCTTAACTCGGAAAATCGCAGTTCGGTGAAGGGTCACTACAGTGCAGTCACTGTCGAGCCCACCACGGAGTAATATCTTACTTTTTGTACCAAAAGGATAGAAAACTTTCAAGGATACCCAACAGTCGATTGTTGTTGTCCTTGAGCCCCTTCTTGTTGCTGGTCATTTAATTAACCTTTATTTAATTTAAATAACATTTAAATGTTAATGACATTTAGTTCACGTCCCGATTCAATTTCAGAGAATGAGAAGCTAGGAATGAGGGATAGGGTAAATCCATCTTCGATGGAGATGATGATTTTTAATTAAATTCAACTCAAGACCTGACCAGGAAGCTAAAAATTAATATATAACAGTTTGAGTCTTGGGCCCGAGACCCCTCCGGATTCTGGAATCCGGCGAAATAACGTCCTTATTTCTTTCAGGAAGGCTGGACACGCCGTCCCAACACCCTTCCTTGTTCTCGGGTTCTACGTTGTAACGATTGTAGCGGCACAATCGCTACAACTCGGAATGGTTCCTGACAAATTCCAATCACAGTTTTAATCTGTGGTCGTTTTCTCGTAGTTGTTTTCACTGCTACTATTGTTGTTCTGTTTCGCCGTTTCAGTGTGTGCGAAATATAAAAAGGTTACGTGTCGTTCACGTCCAAATCGAAATTTCAAAAAATAGCATTTCAGGCCAAAAAAAACCAACCCGTCACGATTCGTCTAATTGTTCAAATAACGATGCTAATCCGTTAAAAAAATCAATCTTCCAGGTCAGATGTTCTTTTTCTGGTCGATAAAAATTCGAATGCGAAACTGCATTTTCGTACATTCTGGTCGAATGTCACACTTCTTTCCCATGGAATCCAAGTCAGTCCAACTGGCTTCTTGTTGTCTGACGTAGCAAGCCCTGGGGGTTCTAAGACTGACGGGATGTTCGCCGAACCTAAAGCACGTTTAGTTACATCGTTTATCATAGCATGACTCTGAATCCGGCCCGCACTTCTTCTACACGACAAATCTTGGGTACCGAACTTGTCAACTGGCTGACCGCATTTACAAGTATGCGGTTCACATATCGGCAGACCCAACCGCAAAGCTATGGAAATTTTTAGATGTACATCCGTCAACATGAGACCAAGCGAACGACAAGGAAGCGCGTTATTCCAACCAGCCTGAACTTTGCCTTCTGCTGAGATGATACGTAACTTGTTAGTGTCATCAGATTCAGTAACTAGCATGTCGAATATGGATTCATTGATAGGATCAGACCAAGACTTGAAAAACAGTATCGTCTCAATAGCAGATGAAAGTAACTGAAACTCGTCTTTTATAACGAATTTCTGTTCTTCCGAAGTGTCACCGAAGAAAAATAGCTCACTTTCGTCAAGACGGACTTCCAATCCAATAGCTGCAGCTTCCGTGATGATCGTAGCGAAACCTTTCAACACGGTACCGTAGTTTCCGCCTAGATTACCGTCTTCAAGGAACCAGAAGTTTAATTCTGACTTCATATTATTGACGCTGTCGCAAAAAAATGGGCGGACCTTCGGGATCCCCTTGCTGAACTCCTTCGTCTGAAGATATGATTGCTTGTCCGTATAAAAGATTGCATTTAGTACTATATGCGCTATCCGAGTAGGAATCGAGATCAGGACATTTCTCACGTATCGTTTCTAGGAACTTGTCTCTAAGTGATCTTGAAATTAATTTTGAGGAGAATTTTATTGACGGAAAACTTGATGGCGTCTATAAAACTCCGCGTAGCGTGGACGGCGCCCTCAGCGCTTTTGGCGTGCCAAAACCAAACCGGAGCGAGCCAAAGGAGCTTTTCCGATCACTGTAGAATCGGCGACCTTCATACTTGGACGCAAGTCTCAGAAACACGTTTCCTGCTGCGATAGGACGCACACCGCCGTCTTTTTTACCTAAAGCGAAAAGCGAGGCACCAAAAAAGAATGGACGAACCTTCTCAGGGACATGACCACTCACTACGACGTTGGTGAAGGCGGTAAGGCTACTGAGTAGGTAAGTTCCTACCTCCTTTTTGACGTTAACTAGGTCCTTCAGAACTTGCGGACTTATACGGTCTGGCCCGCCTGCGGAACCAGAAGGGAAAGAAAGATTAGCTTCTTTGATCTCGCGCGCACTACAGTTAACTGGCGTTATCTCACTGTTTAGTTGCTTAGACCGCTTGGCTTTCCTAGGCGGATGTTTTTCCTTGAGCTCTTGTATAACTCGGTCGCTACATTCAGCCATCTTTTCGTCAGAGGCGGCCAATCGTATAGCTCCCCTGATGTTAAATTCATGCAATTTCTGGCTAAAACAAAAAGTGAGCCCCAATTAGCGAGCTCACTGGGAGCAGCTATTACTTTATTCAATACATCAATGAGAGCACGTGCTAAATTGTTTCTTGAAGCTTTTGGAACCCGTTTCAAGCACTGTATATTGTCAATAAAAAAAACTTAGCTTTTCATCTAAGCACACTGGTTCAATTGATGGGGTGGTAATGTTTTGAAAATTATTAGTGCCCGAGCCACTGCATTTCATGTTTTTAGTTTTTTGAGTCCGCAGAATACCCGCTTGGGAGAGTCATACATGTTGTGAACAGGTGATGCGTTTCCGAACTTGTACGCCTGCAGACTTGCACTCATCGCATAGGTAGGATTCCAGTGCGCTGGCTTCGTCAACCGTAATGTTGACACGCATTCCGTGGAACCAAGTATTGCAGCCATCACAAGCAATCATCAGGCCAGAATTCTCATCTGTTGGATTGAATTTGCCGCATAAACACGTTTTGTTTGGTTGTTGTGAGGATCCGACTCTTCCTCGTGTAGCCATGTAGATGTCATATTACTTTACAGGACGGCTCATCGTGCCATCTGAAATCTATTTAATAAGTTTATCACAACAATTAGGCTGTTGTGCTTATTTTGATTAAGAACTGTACGTTTTAAATGAAATACCAAAAACATTTAGGGACTAAAATTTCAGTGTTAACTCCCTGCTCCTAAACTCATTGCGCGTGTTCGAGCCCGGTTTCTCTTTCCTGATATCTTTGTTTCGCAACTAAAATCTGCGCTATTTCCCTCAAATTGGCATTGCTAAAGGTGGAGGCCTACCGGTGAGTCTGCTTTCTTATGTTCCTCAATTCTAGTGGTCAAATGTCGAACAGTTTGTCCGACATAGGTGGAAGTGCATCCACTACATGACAGTTTATAAACCACTGTTGACTTGAGGTCATTAGAAAATGCTGGCTTCAGTGATGGTAAACATGGTTTTAGTTTTCTTGTGGTGAAAACCACTTGAACGTTAGTTAATTTTCGTAGCCTGTTAGCAAAGTATTGGCTCTGGTTACCTCTATTTTGCACCATGAGCATTGGGGGCTTCCCATCCTTTGGTGATTGAACTGACAAACACCTCTCACTATCCAGGGGCTTGCCCTTACCCTCGATGATCTTGCACAAGGCATCTGAAGCCACCTTTGTGGACCAATTTTCAGGGTACTGATTTGTCAGCCATTGCGCCCGATTAGTTTCCATAGCCTTATCAAAGTGCTCCCAGTTAGATGTACTCCTAAAAATCCTGTGTACAGTGCCTTGGATAACACTACGCTTATACTGAGTTGGGGCGCAGCTTCTATAGTTCAGTATAGTCTCTGTATCTGTTGGTTTTTGATACCAACTGCAAGTCACACGCCTACCCTGCGATACATTTATGTTCAAATCCAGGAGCGGCGAATTCCCCTCCTAATTAGTTTTCTCTAGAGTGCACTGCATATTTGGATGAAGAGAATTGGCGGCATCGAGAAGACAACTCGTTTCCCCTCTGACTGTTCTAACAATGTCATCCAAATACCTGAGGAACAATTTCACCTGGGGAGTATCCTTCTCCTTGTTCTTAGCTCGGCAGCCTATCACCCAGACTATCTCGGTTATTGATGCAAATACGTCATCGGATCTTTTTCTGCATTTTAGATGATACCCGTTTCGGCAACTCTCGCATTCAACCCCCTTTGATCTATATGTGACTTTCCTGCTGCAACATGGGCACAAGCCGTTTTTGTCATTAATTTGCTGTATCTCCGTTCCCACCGGTATTTTTTGTCTTAGAGCAAACTCGTTACAGCGAGGAACGCGCCCATTGCTAAACCATCAACTTGTACATACCATGAAACATTACACTTGAAATATACTTGATGACCGCCATTTTCAAAATCATTTTCATGTTTGTTCTTTGAATTTCAGGAGGAGACTCCCGGCTGTACAGCTTCTGTAAAGCAATTTCAATTGCCTCCTTCAGGGGAACGTTCGTGTACAAACTTTTCTCATCAAGAGATATTATGGTTTCATCCGGATCTAGAGCGGTGTTTTCATTTGTTTCTCTGTTCTTTTTAGTATTGGTTTCTATATTGGCTCCATCGATGTTGTCAAAAAACTTTGCAAGTATTTGGTAAAGATTCTCATACGAGCTGCCTGGAAGTGATAGTACTGGTCATAGGTGTGTCTCAGCTTTGTGTACCTTAGCTAAACCGTACAAACGGGCGGGTTGCCCTCTGTTGAACTCATCTTAGAATATAATTGATCACTTATCTCGTCTCTTTTGTTCATGGCTAGCAATTCTTTGTTAAGTTCCTTCTCAATTTTCAGTATAACATCATCAGTGGTTATATCTTTTCTCACAAACTGAGCAAATTGCAACAAGGATTCCAGCTTTGATTCAAACTTTTGTTTCCTCATTATGCAAAAGCCAACCCCCTTATCAAAAGGCACAGCCAGCAACCCATTATTTTTGAGATATTTCCTCGTTTTTTCAACGGCTTTTGCCTTACGTTTTTTGCATAAGCCTTTGCCGCGGCTTCTATTTCACATAACGTTTAACCAGATGTTTTTTTATTTTTCAATTGTGAGAAGAAAATGTCGATATCCGCGAAAAAGTGTGTTTCATTCCCCAAGAGGTTTATTTTGTCTCTCGGACAGTTTTTCTAATTTTTTTCTGTGGTTTTCTGATGTTGTCTTTAAGCTTGCTTCAACTTGACGCCTCTCGAAGTGGAAAATGGGTGCCCACCACTGATCGTCAATTTCTTCTTTCATCACTGATCTTGCTTTCATTAGCATCTCTACGTGACTTTTTTTATCCTCGTTTGCCCCAGAAACTTCAGTCCTTAGTAATTTCAATTGAAAATTATGCACAGCTTGATCCGAAAAAACCCCGTTCTCGGGGAACCTAAACTTCAAAAATTCCGGTATTCGATCGTTTTTCAGACTTTTTCTCAGTTGTCTTAAAAAGATAAAAAATACATGAAAATAGAGGAAGTATATAAGGGCGAAAATGAGGTAAGTTTTTGTAACATTAACGATTGGCTTGCATCAAGAAAAAGTTCACGTGCTGTTATCCGTTTATACCAGAGCCACGTCAACGTGTTTTTTTTGCTACACTCATAACTACATGTAAGCTTGTACACCACTTTGGATCTCAGTTCACGAGCAAAGGAAGTTTTGAGGGATGGCAAGCATGTTTTCAATTTTCTTGTTGTTTGAAACTATTTGTGCCCCAGTATTTAGCCGAACCTTTGCAGCTAAGAGTTGAGTTGGATTGCCTCGATATTGTATTGTAAGAAGCGGGTTGAGTCTTTCAACCATTTGTCATTTCTCGATTCTGATGCCTTCACCTCTAAATGTTTCTGTCCCTCAATGATCTTGTTAAGAGTTTCAAACACTATCCTCGATATTGCATTGTTAGAAGGGTGTGAGTCTTTCAATCATTTGTCATTTCTCGGTTCTGATGCCTTCACCTCTAAATGTTTCCTTCCCTCAATGATCTTGTTGAGAGTTTCTAACACTATATGATTTTTTAAACAGTTTTTGGGTTTTTCCTGGTAAAATAATTTTTTTTTGATTTCTTTAAAATTTTCATCTATTTTTCTTCCTATACCGCTCAAGGAAATGTAAAAACTGCCAGTTCCGCCAATTTTCACTGCACGGAAATTTTTGGTGATAAAAAGATCAAAAGTACCTGAAATTAGAGGAAAATATATAAGGACGAAAATGAGGTAATTTATCGTCATTTAGATTATTTTATTGTAAAAATCCTGACGATGCACATAGTTGCGAAAACGTTCGAAATTTACTTTTTAGCAAAAATTTCTTCAATTTTACTTGTAAATTCGTGATAAACCAAAAAGCGAAGAGCTTAAAATTCCAACTTTGTCCCATTAAAGGGCCAGTATAAAATTTTTTAATGATTTTCACCAATGTATAGGGAATTTTTATAGTGTTTTTTTAATCGTACGTAAAATATGGCCGATTTTTTTTTGAGTTACCGAAATGTTTCATATTGTAGCAGCTAGCTCCCTGTTCCACAGCATCAACGCCCTTAACACATGCGAGAAAAAGCAATACGAGAGCTTTGTTACAGCAATTCCTGGCCTATCCCTTAATATCCCTTAACTTGCTGAACCAAAGAAAGAACCTCGGACGATTACTGGAAGACAGTCCACTGAATGAGAAAAAAGTGGCTGTGTGGCACGACGTGGTGAACAACACCATTAGCAGCCATAGAACAAACAACTATCGCCCAGCCGGTGTCGAGGAGCTGACAAACTATTTGAAGTCGAAGAAGCAGCAGATATTGGCGATCGTTTATTGCAGATGGGAAGGAACGCCCGACTTGTTTAGTCAGCTTCTCGGCTCAGGAGTGCTCATTATTCCAGCTACAAAATGGCTACTCTCCAAGAGCAAGTAAAACGACCCGGAGCAGCTTAAGGAATATTTAAAGCTGCACCAGAGTGCTGAATTGGAGCTGAAATCTCTGCGATTGGTAGTGGCACACAAAAAAATTCTGTCAGAGCTGATTGGCAAAATTAGGGGCAAACAACAGAGACCATCACAAGACAAGGAGGAAGGCGAAAGCAAGACGTGAGCAGAAGCTGAAGGCAGAGGAAGTGTCTGCGCTTCAAAGACAGGGGTGAGAAGAGTTTGATTTGTTTTGCTTCGTGCCTAGTGAGTTTCATTACTCATATCCTGCAATACAATGACCACAGTACTTTTGCCTGCTGTTTTAAAAAGAAAACTAACTTGGAAAATTGTGTTAGACTATTTAAAATTCTTTTAAAAAGTTCAAGTATCTGTACATAGACTGAAGTTTTTGAGAAAATGTTTGAAAAACGATCTAATACCGGACTTTTTGAAGTTTAGGGCCAAGCTGTGCATCATTTTCAATTAAAACTACTAAGGACTGAAACCTCTTGGGCAAATGAGGATAGGAAAAAGTACGAGGAGATGCTAATGAAAGCAAGATCACTGGTGCAAAAAGAAATTGACGAACAGTGGTGGGCATCCATTTTCCGCTTCGTGAGGCGTCAAGATGAGGCAAGCTTAAAGACAACATCAGAAACCAAAGAAAAAAGTTAGAAAAACTGTCCGAGAGACAAGATAAACCTCTTGGGGGGAGAAATGAGCGATCAGTTAAGGTACTTGATTACATTGAACTGCCTGAATGGGTATATGAAGTGCTATCAATGGGCCCGAAGCATCCCATTAGAGACAAATTTAACGAAACACATTTTTTGGCGGATATTGACATTTTCCTCTCACAATTAAAAATCAAAAAACATCTGGTAAAACGTTATGTGAAATAGAAGCCGCGGCAAAGGCATATGCAAAAAACGTAAGGCAAACCCCAAGAGACAAAGCCTTTAAAAAAACGAGGAAATATCTCAAAGATAATGGGTTGCTGGCTGTGCCTTTTGATAAGGGGGTTGCTTTTTGCCTAATGAGGAAACAAACGTATGAATCAAAGCTGGAATCCTTGTTGCAATCTGCTCAGTTTGTGAAAAAAGATGCAACCACTAGTGAAGTGATACTGAAAATTGAGCTCAGTATAAGCGTAGTGTTATCCAAGGCACTGTATACGGG